GTAAATTTTGGTCAATGACATGAGAGAAAGTATATGTGAACTGCTGTATGAAAAGTGAATTTACTCTGTAAATCTTCACCCAAATCCTAAAAAAAAACCTATATTAAAAAAAAAAAAAAGATATTTAGTACATCAGTGAAGGAAAACAAAGAGAGGACATAAACAGCTTACAGAAATTAAGCCTTCACTTAAAACTTTAAAAATGTGAATTAAGAGACTGTTTTTTCCTCTATTGTTATTGTTAGCTGCCATCAAGTCAGCTCCAAGTTCACGAAGACCTTATACAAAACAGAATGAAATGCTATTACATTGGTATAAATGATGTCTGATGACACCAAGCACTGGTGAAAGGGAGGGAGAAAGGACCTTACTTTACTGCTGCTACAAGTAGAACCTGACAAGGCAATGACATCTGTATCAAATCTAAAATACACATATTTCCTTTGACAGAGCAATCTCTCTGCTACAACTATATTCCTGGGATGTAGTCCCACATTATTTGCCAAAACAACCACACAAGGACATTCACCACAGTATGATTTGTAAGAGGAAAAAACAAAGAGAGATAATCATAGCATGCATTACAAGAGAAGAGTTAACTCAAAATTTACTTATGTGATGGAACACTATGCAGCTATTAATAACAAGGCTCAACTCTATCTACAGTAATGAAAAACTCTCTAAGTTGAAGTATGTACAGGTAACAAGGCGTAATATAATCCCTTTAGTGTAAATTTTTAAAAAGAACGTATATACACATAAATGGACTTATAAAAACCAAACTCACTGCCATCGAGTTGATTGTGACTCATAGGGATACCCTTTGGGATTCCAAGGCAATAAATCTTTATGTAAAGTCAATTGCCCAATCCTCCTTCCCAAATGGATTCATATTCAGGACTACTAGGGACAATGATAGGTAGGTAGGTGCCTATTTTAAGAAACTGTTTATTATACACTAAGCATACTACCTCTGATCTCTTAAAAGGTACACTGATATCTATCATTTCAAGTGACCCTTAATCCTATTAGTGAGGTACCCCCCCAAGAAAACAAATGAACTCACTGCCTTTGAGTTGGATCCAACTCATAGCAACCCTTCCTTGGGTTTCCAAGGCAGTATCACTATGGAAGTAGATTGCCCAATCTTCCTTCCGAGCTGTGGCTGGTGGGTTTGAACTGGCAGCCTTCTGGTTAACAGTCAAGTGCCTTAGGCACTATGTCACCAGAGCTCCCATTAGTGAGGTAGGACAGGTTATTTTTGCTTCTTATTTTTTTAAACAGAGGAAGAAGCTGTTACACGAGTAGCTGGGACAGCATACACCCCTGGACCTCTTGCCTATACCTGTAATGTTCCCATTTTAGCCTATAACACTAGATGCCCTCAAACTGATTCTCATTCCCAGCAATCCCACGTGCTGGTGGAACTGGCGCTCCACGGGGTTTTCAATAGCAGATTTCTCACAAGAAGAGCACCATGCTTTTCTTCCTAGGCACCTCTGAATGAGCCAGACCCCCAACCTTTTGGTTAGCAGCTACATGTGTTAACCCTTTATATAGCCCACAGACTGCTTTAGTCTGTAGCTTTCTTTTTCTCTGATAATCTAAAACTTTCATTAGAAAGGAGTTTTATATTACCTGCTCTGGAGGGACCTCTCCTCCATCAATACGGGGAACTTCGGGCTCCGCTGGGGTACTTCCTGGTGGCTCTGCCACACCATTTTCAGAAACTACAGCACAGGTAAATAGAGATACAGTCAGGTAGGAGATGCTAGGAGGACAGAGCCTGATTCACTACACTTTTCACTTCTATCTGTTAGCACTGCCACAAAAGAGATGGCAACTGTCCCAAGCAGCATGTTGCTGTTATGTGCCATCAAGTTCAATCTGACTCACAGCGACCCCTCCTTGGGTTTCTGAGACGGTATCACTATGGAAGTAGATTGCCCAACCTTCCTTTCAAGGAGTGGCTAGTGGGTTTGAGCCGCCAGCCTTCTGGTTAGCAGTCAAGTGCCTTAAGCACTATGCTACCAGAGCTCAGTGACTTTATTTTTTTAACTTATTTTGGATATTTTCAAGCATACGTAAAGAAAGACAGAATAGCATAATTAATCCATAAGTACACATCACTCGATTTAAAAAATAATCAGTATTTTGCCAATTTTGTTCCACCTAAGCCAATATTCCTATTTTTCTTTTTTGCTGGAGTATTTGATAACAAAACCTAAGTGTTACTAATCATAAAAATTATCAAACACTGATTTTTTTTAATTACACCTAAAAAAATTAACAATAACCATATTCAAAATCTCCCAGTTGTTTCAAAGGTGCTTTTTACAGTGGGTTTATTCCAATGAGGATTCCAACAAGGTTTTCACAATGAATTTGGCTGTTAAGTCTCATCAGCCCTTTTCCCTCTTGGACAACCTACATCCTAGATTTGACTGACTGCTTCTTCGTGGCACTGTTTTAACTTGTTCCTCTATCCCTGCGTTTTTTTGCCTAAACTCATCGTTAGATATTCTGATTTCTGATTCAATTTGTAGGATTCTAGAAGGAGGAGGGGCAGCAAGAATATTTCCCAGGTTGTGTACTTCTGATTGCAGCCTATCAGGAGGCCCTGTCAGGTTCAGGTGGTCAGGCCAACCTCACCTTCAGCAGGTTCCTCATCAACCTTCATCAATGATACAAAAAGTAGTTCTTATTTTCAGTCATTTTTCTTCTTGATGCTCATATTATCCCACCATAGGCTAGTAAATGTCTTCAAATGGACTCCTGATTTGCTTGTTAAGTATTATTCAAGTATAATGTACATACATAAGAGCTTCATAAATTTTTGCAAACTAAACTGTAACCAGAACATTAATAACAGCCCTCAAAAGTCTCCTTCACACTTTGTAGACCAATGTTCATTGCAGCACTGCTCACAATAGCCAAAAGGTAAAAACAACCTAAATGCCCATCAATAGATGAATGGATAAACAAAATGTGGTACATACACACAACGGAATACTACTCAGCCAGTAGGAGAAATGAAGTCTTGATACAGCAGGAAGATACTATGCTGAGCAAAATAAATTAATCATAAAAGGACAAATATTATATGACTTCACTTATCTAAAAAGACAAGAAGAGGCAAATGTACAGAGACAAAAGTTTATTAGTGGTTAACAGGAGCTGAAGTAAGCGGGGGCAAATGGGGTTTAATGGAGATGGAAAAATTGCATTGATTAATATTAGGACTGCACAGTTGATTACTGTAATTGCTGCCTGTAAGTTGTACATCTGCAGAAAACAGAATTGGGGAAAGTTGCGACAGATATATTTAGAACAACAAAAGAGTACTGCTGAGACTGCTTAAGTACAACCAAATTCCTCATGGGATTTGGTTCCTTGGTTTGGAGATTTAGGGTCAAGGTTTCATAGGCCATCCTAGTTAATTAGCCTAATAACAGCTTTAGTGCTGATTTTGAACTTCTAGCATCCAGACTGTGAGAGAGTAAATTCCCACTGTTCGAGGGTATCGAGTTTGTGTTAAGTTGTTATGGAAGCTCTAGAAAACTAATGTGGTGGAAGGAGAGTGACACCTCCTCCCACCAAGGGAACCACTATACTAAATTCTAACACCACAGGTTAATTTTGTCTGGTTTTGTTCTTTATATAAATGGAATCTCAGTTATATCTTTTTCTGTGTCTACTACTTTGCTTTACATTGTTTCAAAGATGCTTCCATACTAATGTGTACAGTTATAGCTCATTCATTCTCATTATTGTACAGTATTTCGTTGTATATGAATATACCACAATTACTTACCCACTCTATCACTGATGGGTATTTGGACAGTTTTCAATTCTTTTGTTATAACAAACAGTGCTGCTATATGGTCTTTGGTGAGCATATGTACTCATTTCCTTGACTACACACCTAGAAGAGGAACTGCTGGGATATGTTGTTGTTATGTGCCATTGAGTAGGCTCTGATTCATAGCGACCTTGTGTACAACAGAATGAAACACTGCCTGTCCTGTGCCAGCCTCATAATCCTCGCTACACCTGAGCCCACTGTTGTAGCCACTGTATCAACCCATCTCATTAAGGGGATTCCCTCTTTGCACCAACCCTCCATTTTACCAAGCATGATATCCCCCTCCAGGGAATGGTTCCTTCTGACAACATGACCAAAACAGGTGAGATGAAGTCTGGCCATTCTCACTTCCAAGGAACATTCTGGCTGCACTTCTTCCAGGACAGATGCTGAGTCATAGGTTATAAATATACTGAGTTTTAAAAGATAGTACCAAAACGCGAGTCAGATCAAATCCTTCCTACATTAACTATCGGCAAGGAAAGCTTTATACTATAAAACCAGAATCTGAGACTTTACAAGAGAAAAAAAGGTAGCTATCAAAACACAAATCTAGAGTTTCTAGCCTTCTAGATGTCACCTTTGTCCCAAACCTGAGGAAATACCTTCCAAAATAACAACTCCAGGTTCCTCTTCCTGGACAATCTCTTCATCCTCCTCAGGGCTGTCACTGTCAGAATTGGAACTACTGGACACCTGTAAATCTTCAGAGACCGGATTCCTAGTTTCTGGGTAAGAGTTGGCTGGCAACTGAGGCTGAGTCCTGCTCACTTGGAAGAAAGCAGCCAAAGGTACTCTTGATCTGTGTGTGCAGAAAGACAGAAGAGGTACAGTACAATGGGCCATTGTCACAGGAATCCTCCAGAAATGTGAAGGTGTGGTGGTTAAGTCTGTCAACTTGGCTAGAACTGGTTCAGTGGCTGGACAGCTGGATGTAGTAGTCCCCATGACGAGACTGGTAATCAACTCCATGGTGGAATCTACTGTGAGCAGCAGAGTACTTGCCTTTGGGTATGTGGTCTGCTTCCCGTATATAAGAAACAGCTTTGGGAACGGTCTCTAGCTTATAGCACACTTGGACTCCACATGTAGCCATATTGCTGTTCAGCAGCCTGCCATGCTTTGCTGACCCTGGGACTTTCAATGGACTTTAAATTAATGGCCTGCTGTGTGATTCGGTAACGTGGGGACTGTGCCATGTTATTTGTCAACCTTGGGCTTGTTAGCCTCAGCAGCCAGTAGCTGCCTGAGTTAAGAGATGCTCTAGCTTCAGTGGTCCGGAAGCAAGAGGCAGAGCCAAAGCCCAAGGTTGAGGGGCTTTCACACATCCCCTGGAGCCTGGCACTGTGAACGTGGGCTTAAAGCCTTCAAACTGTGAGAGAATAAAGTCCTGTTTGTTAAGGCCATCCCATTTCTGGTATATTTCCTGTCAGAGCAGCACTAGGTAACCAGAAGAGAAGGTAAACCCATTCAATGCTGTATTTGAAAGGTGAAGCAGGAATAGCAGATTTAAGCCTGGATTTTCTCTTTCCTACTCAGTCATGACTACATCATCACAAACTGGAGCTTGATCCTTCTACTTAAAGCTAACTGTACTTTATTGGCTTTTGGTCACATACCAGTATCTTTTAGAGAACACAGTCAGCAATTTGCTATAGGGATAAAAAGGTAGTTTAGTCATATAAACTCTGTATTAATTCACATTCTACTTTCACAAGGCTTCTCTAAATTCAGCTACCTACCGTGCAAAGTCTCCTGTGCTGTCAAATGATATGCCAATAAACAATAGCTCTTAGTCCACTGGGGTGGACTTGTACTTTTTGATGCACAAGGTGCATATGATCTGAAGAACTAACCTCTACAGAAACTGTTGTGAATAAAACATCATCTCAAAAAGGTCTGCCTTTCTAGTTTTCAATGCACATCAGTATAACTGATCCCCCTCAATACTGTGTGAAAGAAGCAAGGCAAGTACTTTTATTTCCATCTGATTTATAAGGAAATGGGTTTCACGAAACTTACCTAGCTTCAATGCCAGTGCTTGGTGACACTACTATGACCAGAAGCCAAGTTTCATAATTCTCAGTCTGGCATTAATCCCAGATGCAATCCCAATGGTATATATATTTACCTGGTATTGTCTGTCCTCTGAGACCCACTAGGCCTTGCCCGGCGTGGAGTAGAACCTGTTCTCCTTCTTGCTCTCACTGGGCCCACGTTGTGGTTTGAAGATGGAGGTCTCAGGAATTCCAGCATGCCATGCAGCCTCTGTAGCCCGCTGATGAAGGTGTTCATTGACTCTAGTGAAGACATACGGATGTTGGCATTAGCACCAGATCCCTGCCTATCTTCCTCTGATGCTCCTGGATTGATGTTCTCTACTCTCTCGTCTCCTGAGAGCTCTGTGTCCTCTGTCAGATCAATGGACTCCTGTGGTGCAGGCGGAAACACGGGCGGTTCTGCTTGGCTGCTGACCACTTCAGCAGGAGGAAGTTCTTGTGCAGCAGGATGATCTGACTGCTCCTGCAGATTATAGTCCATTGCTTCGTGATCCATCACTAAGGAAGCAATATTTATAAAAAAGTGTAAGTAAAATAGATAAACATGTCAAACAACTGATATGATCAGATCTACTCTTTCAGAAAAGGAGCAGGGGTGGCACCATGGTTAACTGCTTGGATGCTAACTGAAAGGTTGGTAGTTTGAACCCATCTAGTAGGAGCTCTGGTAGCGTAGTACCTAAGGTACTGGACTGCTAACCAGAAGGCTGGCAGTTCAAACCCACCAACCACTCCTCAGAAGGAAGGTTGGGCAATCTACTTCCCTAGTGACACCACCTCAGAAACCCAAGGAGAGGTCGCTATGAGTCAGGTCTGAATCGACGACACACAACAACAACAGTGGCTCCAGAGGAGAAAGACCTGGTGATCTGCTCCCGTAAAGATTACATCCTAGAAAAGCCATATGGGGCAATTCTACTCTGTCACGGGGGGGACTATCAGTCAGAATCGATTCACCAACGCCTAATAAGAGCAGTCTTCCAGAATTTCTGTTTAAAATTATTCTTGGCAAAACCAAGACATTTAAAGAGAAGACTTCAATTGCTTGTTTTATACCAGTTAAATATTGGTAATAATAAAAATTTTCTCTACAAGCACCGAAAATCAGTTTTTCAGTTTACCTTTTGAAAATACAAAGTCACGTAATCATAAAAACTTCCAAAATAGAAGCTGCACTATTGGGATCTTCCCTAAAAAATGCATATGATGCTGTATTTCATTTTAGTAAGTATTATTCAACATCACCAAAAGTTACAAAGGATAAAATGAAGCCAATTTTACGCTTGCAAAATTAACTCATTTACTAACTTAAAATAAAAATGTACTCAATTCCTCCAAAATGGCTGAGCAATTTCTCTTTATTCTATGTCTTTCATTCTTCTTTTTTTTAAAAATATGATTTGGTTAAAAGTTTACACAGCAAATTTGTTTTCCATTCAACAGTGCATACACATTTTTTTTTTTTGTGATCCTTTCATTATTCTTTTTTTTTTTTAAAGTGACGTGCGTCAATGCATTAATTTTTTTTGCAGTGTTTCCTCCCCTCTTGTCCCACCCCTGGCAACCAACAAAGAAAGTTTCCCTCCATTTATAAACCTTTCCTTGACCATTCAAAACAACTAATACTATATTTGGCCTTCTGTGATTGACTTATTTTACTCTGCATACCGTCCTCCAAGTTCATCTATATTATGTGGTGTTTTGCAGACTCTACATTATTCTTTAGTGCTGCATAGCATTCTAGTATGTGTATGCACCATAGTTTGTTCATCCACTCTTCCACTGATGGGCACATAGGTTGTTTCCATCTTTTTGCTATTGTAAATAGTGCTGCAATGAACGTAAGTGTGTGTCTATCTGTTCCTGTCCTGGTTCTCACCTCTCTAGGATATACACCTAGTAATGGGATTGCTGGGTCAAATGGTATCTCCAATTCCAGCTTTCTAAGGAATTGCTGTATTACTTTCCACAGTGGTTGCATCTCTTTACAGTCCCAATTTCTCCACATCCCTGCCAGCATTTGCTATTTTCTGTCTTGTTGAACCTTGCCATCAGTGCTGGGGTGAGACGGTATCTCGTTGTTTTGATTTGCATCTTTCTGATGGCCGATGATTATGACCATCTCTTCATATATTAGCTGGCCAACTGAATATCCTCCTTGGTGAAGTGTCTATTCATGTCTTCTGCCCATTTTTCAATTGGATTGTTAATTCCTTTGGTGTTGAGTTGTTGGAGTTTTCTATAAATCTTAGAGATAAGTCCCTTGCCAGGTATGTAATTATCGGCAAGTATGAATTTGTTGTTGTCATTTTTGTTATGTGCTTTTTTGTGGTGTCGATTTCTTTGTTCCATGTAATTTTCCGTGCTGAGCTCGTTTTTTATGAATTGTGTTATCACTTTCTTCATTGCTATTGCTTTAGCATTTGCTAAATATTTGTACTGGCCCTCTTTTATATTTTGATGTGAAGGTTTATAATTTTTCTTTGAGGTTACCCTGTGATTTATAGTTTTCTTTCCAAGTTTAGAACAGTCCTTATCTTGTAGTTGTCTCGACACCCCTACCATCGGGAAGTTCTGTAATGACACAGTTTTTACCTTCTTTTTGGTCTGTAGTTGTCCTCATTTGTAAATTGATGTCTCTGGTTCCCTGTTTACAATCTTGTAGACTTATTTACTTTGGATACTTCCACAGCTGGGTTTTGGTTTCTGGGTTATATCATCATGTGTGTTAATGGTCAGTTGTTGTTGGCTGTTGTTGCTTCTCTGTCCAAAGGGCTCCCTTTAGCATCTCTTGTAAGGTTGGTCTGGTTTTAACAAATTCCCTTAATTTCTGCTTATCTGGAAATGTCCTAATTTCACCATATTTGAGGGACAGTTTTGCTGGGTACATAATTCTTGGTTGGAAATTTTTCTCTTTCAGTGTTTTATGTATACCATCTCACTGTCTTCTCGCCTGCATGGTTTCTACTGAGAAATCTGAGCTCAGTCTTACTGGTTGCCCCTTGTATGTAACTCTTCGTTTTTCCCGTGCTATTCCCATGATCCTTTGTTTCTGGTTTTGGTGAGTTTGATGATGATACGTCTTGGTGATTTTCTTTTGGGGTCTATTCTGTTTGGGGTTCAATGGACTTCCTGAATGGATGTATTCTCATCTTTCATCATGTAAGAGAAGTTTTCTTCCAACAAATCTTGGACAATTTTCTCAGTGGTTTTATTTTTCTCTTCCTGCTCTAGAATTCCAATGACACATTAGGCTTTCTTCATTTTGTTTTGATCTTTTTTCTGAATGCTCCCTTTACAAAGAAGTATTCAGAGATTTGTCTTCAATCTCATTAATTCTGTCTTCCATTGCATCAGTTCTACTCCTTTTCCCTTTCAATGTGTTATCCATGTCTGACAATTTAGTATTAATCTTCTGGATTTCTATCTGTAGAATCTGAATCATTTCTAATTTTCCATTTATTTTGTCATTTTGTTCTTGTTATTTTCTCCCAAAATTCTTCTAGGGTTTAGTCTGTGTTTTCCTTGATATATCTTTCAATCCTTTGAGGATACCTGAATATAATTCTTTTGAATTCCTTATCAGGGAGTTCCAATGCTGTTTCTTCCTCAGGGATGTGTTTTGGGTCTGTATCCTGGTCCCTTGTTTCTCCTGCTTTATCTTGTTTGTTTGTGTGGACTGTGATGCTCTGTTGTCTCCAAGGCCTCGCAACATTTTTATGTTTATATTTAATTGGCGATTGTATGTTGGAGTGACTTGCTCACGATTTGTTTTGTTTGTTATCTAAGTAAGCAGGGTACTGTGCTGTGTTCCTCTATTCACTAGTTAAGAGCACTTATACACTCACCACCTGTCACCTTTCCTGTTGTCAGCCTCGTGTATGTTGCTGCCTACCTTGGCAGACAGAGCCTATTCTCAGGTCCGTGAAATCCGCAAGAGAATGCTATCATTTTAAATCCAAAATGGTTGCCACTTGTAAAAATTCGAAATGGCTGCACCCTCGGTCACTTTAAATGTCCAACATGGCCACCGCTAATAAACATTCAAAATGGCTGTGCCCTTGGTCACTTTAAATATCCAACATGGCCACCAGATGTAAACATTCAAAATGGCTGCGCCCTCTGGACAGCGGGAAGTCAACAGCTCACGTTGTTTCTCTCCTTGGTGTTTCCCTTTCTAGTCACAGGCCACCAGCGCAGTCATCTCTGCAGCCCTTGGTGACCAGGGCTGATCTTTAGGTCAATTCTCAAGTCCTAACACCACTTGGAAATATTCAGGCTGTTGGTCCTGTCAGAGTAGCTGATAGTCCGCAGCTCCGACCGTCTCTGTACTCACTGTTTTCGTTCAGTTTTTTCCACTAGCTGGTGCCTAATCCACTTCTGTATAGTTCCTTTCAAAGCTCAGGGCTCCAAGATTATATTCTATATCTCTGTCAATTGATTTTTCTTTTCTTTGTTGAAGAGGGGATGTGTGGCTTGTCTGCCTATTCCTCCATCTTAGCAGAAGTGTCTTCTTTCATTCTTCTTGTTTCTTGTCTCTGTTCCATTACATTGGCCCACTCGACAAAAATTTATTAAATGCCTATTATATAGCCAGAAGCTCTGGTAGTGTAATGCCTAAGGCACTTGACTACTAACCAGAGGCTGGCGGTTCAAACTTACGAGCCACTCCTCAGAAGTAAGGTTGGGCAATCTACTTTCGTAGTGATACTGCCTCAGAAACCCAAGGAGAGGTCGCTATGAGTCAAAATCAACTCAACAGCAGCGAGTTTGTTTTGGTTATTATGTAGCCAAGGAACTCTGGTGTCACAGTAGTTAAAGCACTTGGCTGCAAGCCTAAAGATCAGTTGTTTGAACCCACCAGCCACTCCACATGAGGCAGTCTGCTTCCATAAAGATTTACAGCCTTGGAAACCCTATGGGGCAGTTCTACTCTGTCCTATAGTGTTGCTACACATCAGAGTTGATTTAAAGACACTGGGTTTGGTTTTGGTTTTATTATGTAGCCAGGCATCCAAGAGGCACAAACAGACAGGTAAGACCCTCTGTAACTGAGTTCATATTCTGGCAAGGGGGAGAAAGCCAATAAACACATAAATGAGAAAATTACAGACTGTGATAGTTCAATTTTGGAAGATAGGGCAATGAACAGCACTTTCAAAACAATAGTGAGGGAAGGTTCTCTGAAGGAGTGAAAGGATCTGGCCATTGAAGATCAGAAGATGTTTTCAGATGGATGAAACCAACGCACAGATCCTTGGTGATCATGAACTTGGTCCATCTGAGAAACTGAGGCAGATAATTTTAACAAACACAGTGAGGAAGAAGAGATAGTATGGTATAAAGTTGGTGAGTCAAGACACTATTATTAAAGCCAATAACAAATAAAGAAGCCAATAACAAAGACCCTAAATGTGGACAATGATGTAGGAGGAAACCTGGGAGAGTGTGTGTGATCTTGGTTTCAATGTTTCAAGGAGGGAATGGTCAAGTGTG